ATATATATATATGTATTTATGTATATTTCGAGCTATGCAAATAAATCATAAAAATCTCATACCTCATACACCATTGCGCCTGGTGTTTCATTTAGGTACACTCCTGGCCTCTGATTGTTATTCACTGAGCCCCTAACTTCCCCCCCAGACCTTGGAGCATCCAAGGTGTTAGACCTTTCATTGTAGCTGAGTCGACTTGCTCGTGCTGCATCTTTGACCGTAAAACGGTTATTCATAGTGTATAGACGCGTCAAAGGTCATATACTGTTCGTATATATATCCTAGTATTATATTTGTTGAATGAAAGTAGGAAGTAAATATGAAGGGGGATTTTACAAGATTGTATAATTGATACACACATGTGTCAGTGTGGTTCTCTTTTATAAAGCTTACATAAACTCAGTCCGTTAACTACTTAACTATATTCACACTAAATATAGTCATCGGGTAGTACTACCGTAGTACAATATTGAATTTTAATGCTTTTCTTTGTGTCGGTCCTGCAATCCTGCGACCTGCAAGAAGGCTGCAAACGCCATACGACCTACAACTAAAATGATTGATAACATTTGTTTATTTATTGTAACATATTTACATACGCAATTTACATTGCTCGAAGGTCAAAACTCAAAATTACTTTTTTCTCCTTTTGTTGTTTAAAAAAGCAATACGCCAGTCTCGGTCTCACGACTCAGTCACAAGCCCAAGATCACATACAATGGATTCACATTTTGCTGTCTTGCTCACACCGAATTTTATTGGAGTGGATGAAAAGAGCGGGTATTAACTTTTTTAAATTTTATCACAATATATGGTCCAGTCACAATAATCCACTATCTGTGACGACTCTCAGTCGGACTGTCGGACTAACTGACTATCAGATGTAGGTTTAAAATTGCGAGCTTATTCGTAGACTCAGTCTGTGAGTCCGTAGCTCTGTGCCTGTGATTGTCTGGGGATTGCTGCTCTCTCTCTTTTAAAGTGAGCCGTGAGTCGTGAGTCGTGAGTTTTGAGTCGTGGCTCGTTTTGTTTTTGTTTTTTTTAAATCGGTCACAACAAGTTCACACTCATCACAGTCTCATAAATAATAAGTCATAACAAGAGGACTCAAAAAGTCAAAAGAAGGCTACATATGCAAAAAATGTAAAACTTAAAGAGACTGCATCAGCATTTCAGTGGACTCACTGTACTGCCCTTCACGGCTTCACAGTGGTAGTGTAAGTGCACAGCTACACAGCTGCACTCTTGCAGACCCTTTACTCTGTACGGTCACACTGCGGCAGGACTGTTGGCTGCACCGCTGCAGTCAGTGACTTAGTGCTGAGTTGCTGTCTTGCTAGAGTGCTGACACTGCTGGGTGAACTGGTGACTGCTGAGAACTGCTGAGTGCTGACTTCTTATCCTTCTTGACCTGCAATCTGCAGTAGTTTGCAGTATTTTTAACACTGTTAAAAAAATATCTGCACTCCTCAACAGTCAACCACACGCCATGCTAGAAGAAGAGAGTGAAGTGTTCAACAAGAAGTGACCGCCAAGGCTCACAACTGACAACTTTTGTCGCCAATCTCAAATCCGAAGACTGGAGAGTGAAGTTTCACATGTTGTAGGTATCTATATTTTGTAGCATATATTTGTTTCTTGGGTTTTTGTTTAGCAACCGGATTTCCATAGTGTTTTCAATTTCCAATTAGCGCACCTCCCCTAATTTATATAAAAAAAACAGTCAGAGACAATTTATAATAAAAAAATCGCAGATCCGCAGCGGGCGCAGTCGAATCAGAATGTCGATCACGACTTCACGACTTCACGTCATTTGATATTGTTGTCATACATAGCCTCCTAAAAAGAACATGTTGACAAAATAAGTAAAAATAATAGAATATTCCACACTCCACAGTACTCGTATTTTCGGGGGGTTTTTTTTCAAAGTTGTATGC